GAGATCCTGGAGTCCGACGTCCAGACGACACGACCGGAGAGATGGAGCCGATGGGGGAGGATGTGGGCGTCGGGGCTCCCGGTGTCCGACTGGGGGAGAGCTCCGATGTCGGGGTGTCTGTCCTTCCTCTTGACTTGAAATTTTCCCACAAATAATTCGGTAGCCTGATACCCCCACTCTCGCTCTCACCCAGCAGATACCCCAACACCCACTGCTCTCATCAATTACAGCAAACACCCAGTACAGTGATTACAGTGAATATCCAGTTGAGCAACTTTTAGTGAATACCTAGTGCAGTGATGATTACAGTGAACACCCAGTACAGTGATTAATACCCAGTGCAGTGATTACAGTGAACACTCAGTGCAGTGATTATAGTGAATATCCAGTTGAGCAACTTTTAGTGAATACCCAGTACAGTGATGATTACAGCGAACACCCAGTACAGTGAATATTAATACCCAGTGCAGTGATTACAGTGAACACTCAGTGCAGTGATTATTATAGTGAATATCCAGATGAGCAACTTTTAGTGAATACTTAGTGCAGCGATTATAACAGTGAACACCCAGTATAGTGACTGTCATAGTGAATATGGAGTTCAGTTATAATACTGAATACACAGCGCAGAGATTATTACAGTGAACACCCAGTACAGTGATTATACCGCATACCCAGTAAATTGACTATACCAAAAACCGAGTACAGCGATTGTCCCTCACTGAAAACAGTTCAGCAATTAGTATATTGAATACCCAGTACAGTGATTATACTGAACACCCAGTATGGTAATTATTCCAGTGAACACACAGTACAGTCATTGTCCGTCATAATGAAAACAGAGGGAAGTGATTATTATACTGAATACCCAGTACAGTGTCTGTCCATCACACAGAATAAGCAGCACAGTGAACAGCCAGTAATCTTCTATTACAGTGAACACTGGGTCAGTCTGAGCTGTGCTGTCCCCTGCACAAGACATGTCCTTAGGTCAGAGTAGACGGTGGTCTCACCCTCCTTGGGGACACCCTGTCCTCTGGGGTCCTGCTACCACCTCTGGGAAACTCAAAATAACCAACATTCATGCAAAACATCACCTGGTGTCTAAAAAACACTGGTTCTGACTGAAGCAATCTTATTAGCAAATACACTCTAATGGATTTTAAATGATCAAATTCCCCCTGAAGTAAGAAGAAACAGCACACATCTACAGTCTGGGTGTTGATTTATAAGATCAGCCTGTAAAACAAACCTGGAAGGACTCAGCTTTCAGGGAAAAGCTGTGGAGTGAAAATGACTCAAGACAGAGAAACAGAACTGAGAACAGTCCCTCTGTCTCAGCTACACTCTCTCTGACTCTCACTCATGTTCATGTGTATCAGCAAAACCTGTTGTTGTTTTGAGAGGGTGTCATGTAGCTGCCTCTGTAGAAATGTTTTTCTTTTTTGTTTAACAATGAAAGGATCTACAAATACCACACAAAATAAAGTCTATTGCTTTCCATCTTTCGGTTGTTTTTATATAATGAACTATTTACATTATGCCAGCACAGATACCACAAACGCCCTCTCTCAAAAAAAATAGAGACCTGTTTTATTGATTACTTTTAGAGCCGCTGTGTGCATCTTTTGCTATTTAATGCTGTAAACAAATATAATTCTCTATTATAAAGTCATTGGGTATTTCTTCTGGGTCAGTATTATTATATCCAGAGTTGAAAATGTCATTTGACAACACAAAATACTTTCTTTCTAGCATTTAGTGAGGTTTGAAAGCTCATATTAAAGCACCGGTTTATCACATTAAAAAAAATTGATTTTGTGTATAAAACTGACCTGAAATATCCAAATCTGCACATCCCTATTAAGACTTTAACACTATCAAGAAGGACACACACTGGTGGGTCTTTAATATTAAACAGCTCTTAACAGACATAGCAGACTACATGTGTGTATTTGCTTAAAACGCTACAGTTTCCAGTTCCCCAAACATTTTGTAATCATTTCGCAAAATAACACAAATGGTCTAAACACGAGTATTAATTTCCTTGAAAACAAACCATTTTGTAATAAACAAATGAACAGTTCCCTGTCCCCTCCTGTGCTGACCGGTCAAGAACACCCTCTTGACTTCTAACTGCAGGTCTGGGGGTGCCCTCTCCTGCGTGGTACAGGGTCTGACCTGGCTCCTGTTGGGAATAAACATGCCTGAAGGCAGCCTGTGCTCCACCAAGTCCCGACTGCTCCGGCCCAGAGCTGCTGTTCTGGTGACCCGTCCTGGAAAGACACAGGCGTGTTGTCCACAGGCTCTCTCTCCCCCTTCCTCACCTCGTTCAGGGGTTCTGACACCCCTGGGCTCCTCCTGGTCATCCTGAGTCTTCTGGGGGTCCAGGCGCTGGGCTCCTCCCAGAGTCGAGGTCCAGGAGGAGTTTCTCCCTGTTGGCTTCTCCCAGATCTCCCAGACTCCTCAGGCCTGAGCCGGGCTGGGAGGAGGGAACCTTCCCTGAGATCCTGGAGTCCAACGTCCAGACGACACGACCGGAGAGATGGAGCCGATGGGGGAGGATGTGGGCGTCGGGGCCCCTGGTGTCCGACTGGGAGAGAGCTCCGATGTTGGGGTGTCTGTCCTCCCTCTTGACTTTTCCTCCTTCAGGATCCCACAGAGATCTCGGTTGAGCGTGTTCACTGTCACACAGGAATGTTCCTTGGCTTCAACTGTCTGGTACCCCACTCCTCCAGCTCCCACCTGGCTGGTACCCCACTCCTCTCACCTTTACAGTGAACACAGAGACACTGGCTTAGTGACTCACAATTCCAGTGAATCCCAAGCACAGTAAACAGGCAAATAAACTAATTCAGGAAACAGACTGAAGAGTTTGTCTGGTTTAGTGGTTAACACATGCAGAGAATATCCAAGAAAAGGAGTCCTCGTTAATTCTCCGTCAGTTTTTCAGTTGTTTTGGTACAAAACCAGCCTTCATTAAGGGACACCTGCAGACTTCCGCTGAACTGTTCCAAACTTCTGTCTGCATTTTCCCAGGGAATTTCGTGGGCTTGCGAGAAGAATTGGAGACAAACAATAATAAGCTTTATTGACGTATTCATACTTGGTCAGATATTAAGATGAACATCACATGCTCAAAATAGCTGGTGATACTCGAACCTACAACCACACTAAACCTGACAGTGAAGTAGCTGTCTCTGCTCTGTACAGTATAAACACAGGTCAGGTGCGTCTCTGTACCGCGCGTCTCTAGACTGCGTAGATACAGGACAGGTGTGTCTCACTCACCTCTCTCTCCTGCTCGGTGACTGAGCCAGTGGACACACAGGCAGAAGGAGAGCAGAGAACAGGGTGAAGATCAGACTCACTCATGCTGGGATCTCCCATCAGGCTGGGCAGGGCTCCGGGTTCGAGTGCCGAGGGTGGGCTTCCTGTAAACTGCAAGAAGGAAGATCAAAAACCCTTCAGCACAAGCAGGGAGTTCTCCACCTCAGTGTCATTATTAATTTCATGCTCCTGCCCCAGCTTGTATTCAGCCAACAGGAAAGTGAGGGTAGACGAGAGACTACAATGAGTTGTTTTTTCTACAACAAACAAGACGAGTCTGCCGGAGTTCGTCTCTAAATATTGAGATCACATCCTGCCATGCCCTACATAAAGAAAAGAGTGTGCTTTGTTCTCACCTGTAAGCAGTCTGGTGCCTTTTGTGACGTGGATCTCTCCTCCGTCTCTGGTGGTGCAGTCCATCTCTCTGAGCCTCTCAATTCTCAGACTGGGAGAGTGAGTGGAGCTGGAAGACCATCAGGACTGAGAGCGATACAAGAACCCCCTCTAGTGACCCTACTGTAGACCTGCTCACCTCCCACAGTGACGATCACAGTGCTGATAGTGTTTCCCTGAAGGTCCCTCACTCTGTAGCTCCCCTGATCAGCTGGAGTGAGGGAATGCAGTGTCAGAGAGCTGTTCTGCACCGACACTCTGTCTCTGTACTGGGGGACACAGCGGGCTGTGCTGTTCTGGACAGAACACACTGAGGTCCAGTTTCCACCTCCTGCAGGTGGAAACAGCACCTCCACTGGCTCTCCAGTGAACAGGGGAACAGACAGAGAGGCTCCAGGCTGCAGGGTGACAGTGTCTCTGTGAGCTGAAAGACAATCAGGACAGATGATATAAGAACACACTCTGGCAAGAATATAGAGCCCTCTAGTGTCCCTACTGTAGACCTGCTCACCTCCCACAGTGACGATAGTGTTTCCCTGAAGGTCCCTCACTCTGTAGCTCCCCTGATCAGACGCCCTCAGGTCCTTGCAGACACATACAAGCGAAAAATAAGATGAAACCACGTACCAGTACATTATTTTCTGAGCCGTGTAAAAAAAATACAAACGTTTCTGGACATTAGCCGGTGCTTTTTGTCACTATTGACCGACTCCGCGGTGAGGAAGATGTGGTCCTCGCCTTTGTCCACTGTTGGACAAACCGTAACTAACTCGCAGCCTCAAATAGAGACGTCACACAGATCAAAAACAAACTGGGATAAATTGCAACTTGTCGCCCACTAAAAGTACAGACGACTTGTGCAGACACAAATGTATAAATTAATTTTGGTTGTATGTATAAACGTTCGCTTACAAATGAAGGATCTCCGTATGAATCTTCATCATTTATCAGTGCAAATAAAAGCCGCTTCAATAGGATTCGCCTTCAAAATCAAACGTTGTGGTCTCGTACCCTCACCTGGTATAATTTAGCATGAATGAGCCTCTAAAATTAAATTTAGCAACAGCCCGTTATACACAAACACGACACAAAGTTTAAATTAATTGAAATGCTCTGACTCAGAGCGTCTTGTAGTTCGTGCTAATTAGGACAGCAATGCTGAGCCCTTTTGTGTATTAAGCACGAGTTCAGCTGGTCTCCAACTTCACACAAATTAAAAACACACTTAGATAAAGTGCAGCAGGTCTCCCCTAAATGTGCAGAAGACTTGTGCAGACACAAATGTATATATTGTACATACAACCGAAAAAAACGTTCGCTTACATCAGTGCAAATAAAACCCGCTTCAATAGGATTCGCGTTCAAATTCAAACCCGCAACTGCTGCTCTCGTTTGTGTCGGGACTGATTGCACTTGAGTATGGCGTTAGTAATCTCGTACACTCATCTGGTATAATTTAGCATGAATGACCCTGTTAAATTAAAAACAGGAACATCCCGTTAAACATAAACACGACACAAAGTAATAGTTCTATATTAACGCGACCAACATTCATTTACGGTTTAAATTAATTGAAATGCTCCGACTCAGAGCGTCTTGTACTTCGTGCTAATTAAGACAGCAATGCTGAGCCCTTTGTGTATTAAGCACAAGTTCAGCTGGTCTCCAACTTGACTCCGCACGGTTTTTCGTAGCATTGAGCTCAGAGCTGTAGCTCTTCTCCAGACAGCAGCGTGCTCTCCGAGAGCTCGTTAGAACTGACCCACAGCGGTCAGTATGAAGTTTGCGCTGAACACTGTACATCACCCACACGCGGTACCGCTGCTTCCGAGCCCAGTCAGCTCTGCTGTATTCACGACAGGACCTCCGCTCTCTCTCTCCTGTGATCTGATCCGACAAATGACGTTTCTCTCCGGTCTGAACCACAGACCTCTCTCACACCACCTGGGTGAGATCGCACCCCGGCCAATCAGGAGACTTCGTCAATTAAGCAATTAAGAGTCCACAAACTTTATTGAAAACTCAAGTTCAGTTTCTGAAGAATGCATCTGAAAATAGTCATAATTTCGCTTGAAAAGGCACTTTACCTCTGTAACAATTATAAGAAACAGCAAACAGTACGTAAAACGTGCATTCAGCTTAAAAAAATAACGTTTCCTAAAAATGACTTTTGATCTTTTTAAAACAACTCAGGGCAGAGCTGACCGTGTGATCTGCTATCTTAGAGAATTGCAGAGTAAGCTTATTAATTAAGTTCATAAATGTTAAGATGGGTCTGTACCTGATCGAAATATTTGTCCAACGCAATATGTACATCGAATTAGAATTGTATGACATTTCAAAATGATAAATCTCAGTTCTGTACATGATATATCTCATGAAACAAGTCATGATATGAAAGATGATAGAATTTCATGTCATTTCAAAAATATAAATCCGTTCTGTAAATGATAGAAATATTTGCCTAATGAAATAAGAACCTTTTTGAAACAAGAAGCTTTTTCATTTCATTTGAAATACATTAATCTCAGTTCTGTACATGATATATCATGAAATATGAGACTGCATGGAAGATGGGAGAATTTCATGTCCTTTAAAATATATACATCTGCTCTGTACATGACAGAAGTATCTATCCTGTGAATTAAGTACAGTAATGACATGAAGGATGATATAATAATAATAATAATAATAATAATAATAATAATAATAATAATAATTGCTTACACTTATACAGCGCTTTTCTGGACACTCCACTCAAAGCGCTTTGCAGGTAATGGGGAATCCCACTACCGCCACCAATGTGCAGCCCCTCCTGGATGATATCAATTGATGTCATTTCAAAATATATAAATCTCAGCTGGGCACAGGACAGGAAATCTTAGGGCTAATGCAGGTCACTGTGTGCAGATACATTCAACATGAAAAGACTGTTTTGTAAAATGGTCCTGGTGACATCACATCATTGCTTCCGGCCCTCAGTTTGGGGGGGGGGTGTGGCCTTTTCACCGGAACTCGCACTCGGCCCCGCCCACTCCCACGCTGCTACACCCTGTGACTGAAAAAAAGTCCTTTTCATAACCTTCCAGCAGCACTGGCTGAGCAAGACTGCTATCAGACCGCAGGGTCAGCTTGAGTCTGTGAGCTGAAAGTGGAGAAACAGCCAACTCTGGGTGGTGTATTTTTTTTTTAAAACGTCATGAGTATAAACTATAAGTGACTGTACCTTCCCCAGTCCAGAGGCAGGAAGTGCTTCAACTAAAGAGATTCGGTTCCTTCAAGATCCTAGAATGGATCCGGTTGCTCTTCTCTGGACCCGTGAAGTTGTGTAGTGATTTTGTGGCATTCAGTGTCATTTATTTATTTTTCACCTAAGTGAAGTTGGGTAGTTTTTAATACATCAATCATTGCTATAGATTTCATTTTCCTGTCGTGAAGTTGTGTAGGTTTTATGTACCAATCAGTGCCACAAATTTATTTTCCTGTTGTGAAGTTGTGTAGTGCTTATGTGCCGGTGAGTGCGAATAATTTATTTTTCCTGTTGTGAAGTTGTGTAGTTTTTGTATACCAAATCAAAAATCCATGAACAGGGAATAAGAAACTCCTACCGTTGTACATGTTTAACTTTTTTGTTTGGGATAGGAGGGCTAGAAAATTTCTCTCGATTTGCTTAAGTGGCTGTTGAACAGTCCAAAAAAAAGTGTTTTTTTACAGGGGATTATCGTCAGTGGCTCGCTAGACAGATATTTCTGAACTGCGGCGCAGTATTTCTGCTTCTCAAAACACAGGTTCGAGGGCCCCCTCAAGCAGACACTAGAAATATCGTCTTTTTTGAAGGCAGGTGGGTTGTAACTCTGTGAAATACTCACGCAGTTCAACCGCAAAACAAATACAGTATATTTACACAGTATCTCCTCCGCTCCGCTTTCTTAGCGAGCCAATCAGGAGTTTCCATTATCAGCCATCTCTGAAACCGATCAGGAGTGTCTGTGCGCTTCTCTGCGGGCACTGTCAGCGGTCTTCCCTGTGAGCCAATGAGAGGTGTCCACTGTCGCCTATCTTTGAGCCAATGAAGGGTGTCTATAGTCTATAGTCTTCTCTCTGACCCAATCAGAAGCCTCTGTGGTCATCTCTGTGAACCAATCGGAACCGACCGTCGTCTTCCCCATGAACCAATCGGGTGTGTCCATAATTGCCCGCCTCTGCACCAATCGAGCGGGTCGGTGGCCACCTCTGGGCAAATCTATTAAGTCACAATCGACATCGATTAAGCCAGTTCAAACGCACACGGGTGTTGTGGACACACGCACAGTTAAAATAAAACCACAAGACTACAGTTCCATCGACTGCCTGAGCCAGTGTCACAATTTATTAGATGTATAAAGCGTTTTTATTAAAAAAAAAAACCCCACTGACGTGAGCACAGAACACCTGCCCGGTGTGCGGCGGGAGATTTCAAACTGACACGGCCTCTTTTCTTCTGCGGACGGAGGAAGAAGCGAACAGGTCTGATCCGACGGGTGTCCGGGAGCTGGGTGATCCGAGGCTCCCGACAGGGAAAAATTCAAGTTGGAGCTGCAGAAATACCTCCTCTGGTCGCTAGAGGGCGCCAATGGCTCTGTAACAACAGACGCGCACTCGATAAAAAAATAACGACCTTAGTCTTACTTTTTGGAGACAGCAGGGGAACGCGGCGAGACGGTACGGAAACGGTACGGAAACGCATCGCTGCCACCAAGTGGAAAAAAAAGAAAAGACTCACTGGACTGGGGGACCCCTGAGCTATAAGACTCACTGGACTGGAGACCCCTGAGCTTTAAGACTCACTGGACTGGGGACCTCTGAGCTATAAGACTCAATGGACTGGGGGACCCCTGAGAAATAAGACCCACTGGAGTGGGGACCCTTGTGCTGTAAGACTCACTGGACTGGGGTCCCCTGAGCTATGAGACTCACTGGACTGGGAACCCCTGTGCTGTTAGACTCAGTGGACTGGGGTCCCCTGAGCTATAAGACTCACTGGCCTGGGGGACTCCTGATTTGTAAGACTCACGGGACTGGGGGACTCCTGATTTGTAAGACTCACGGGACTGGGGGACCCCTGAGCTGTTAGACTTACTGGAATGGGGTCCCCAGGGGCGGTCCTGCAGGGTTGCGGGCACCTGCGCTCTCTGGACACGAGCCGGGTGCGACTGCCTGAGGCCACACAGCTCAGAACAGCTCAGAACAGCAGCCCCATTGACTAGCAGCCCAGGAGGAAATTTGCATCGGGGCATCTGGCGTGCATCTGTGTGTGTGTGTGTGTGTG